AGGATATTGGCTGTCCAATGGATCACCATCAGAAGATGGATTAAAGATGGATGCAACATCCATTTACAAATTCGTACAAAGTTTGTATCCAGAGAATCCAATTTACGTTTACGGGCATTCATTGGGAGGTGCGGTGGCATTATACTTAGCATCGCATCCACAAATTCAATTCGATATCAAAGGTGCAATTATTGAAAATACAACACGTCGATCAAAGATATGGTGATAGAATTATATCCCCAAAAATGGTTGCTTTATCGATATTTGGCAAGCATTCCTTTGTTTCTTCGTAACGGATGGGAAAATGATGAAATGATAAAATCTATAAATTCGCCGATATTGTTTCTTTCATCTAGAAACGATGAGAAAGTGCCGCAACAACACATGATAAAATTTTTCGAATCAGCAAACAATTCTAAAAAAAAACTTGATTGAATTTGAAAATTCAATGCATGAGAAACCAAATAAAATAAAATAAATTTTAAATAAAGTAAACAAAATAAAAACGATCGAGTTTGGTAAGCTATATAAAGAGAACATGTTGATAGGTTACTGTCGCAGCTGGGTCAAATCTTATAGTAAAAGAAAGACCTAAAAATTTTACTATTAGAAAATGCAATGTTGATGAAAATTTCCAAATTTGGAAATATTGTCTCCAATAAGCCAATCACAGTGCGGATCAAACCCTATATCAAACCGTGATTTTTGGATGTAACCTACCTATCTATATAGTTTGCGGGGTCCTTCCACACCCCATATACAACCAAGCCCTCGTTTCGACGAATTTTTGTTTTGACCCTTTTTCTTCAACAAAATTTATATTAAATCGCGTTACAATCAGGGTTGTGTTGGTCCCAAAAGACCGGTCTTTAGATGCGGTCTTTGGACTGATTAAATACTGGTCTTTGGGACTGGTTAAAGATCGGTCTTTGGGATTGTTTAAAGGATTTTGATGTGAATCACATTTGAATATGCACATTTTGAACACCATGTTTTAATATTTTTGACCGAATTAAGAGTTACATTCCGCCGAAACAAGTGGCATGGTTAGATATAAAAGATTTATTTAAATGGAAATCATTTTATTTAAAAATAAAGATATAAAGAAAATAATTTTATTCTTATTTAAAGGTTATTCTCCAAGAAAGTTTTTGCTTGTGGATTTTTTGTCTATTACTAAATAATAATATAATAATAATGTACAGTACCTGAAGGAAAGTACTGTAATGCAGTTCACATTTTCTGTAAATCCATTTGTCCATAAATTTTTATTTAACAAATTTCATTTTTTTAAAATTTGATAATATTAAAATATTATATTTCATAAGACCTTGAACAATGATATTTTGAACTGGTATGCAAAAGAGCATGCAAAAAGTTGTAAATTCTACCCAACAATTCGTGCAATTTATCATAAATCCAGTAAAATACCTCTGACTTATAAATTTCTAATAAAATTGTAACATAGTTTTGATGATAAATGGCTACCTCATATTGGCTTGTAAACAAACTGCAAAAATACAATACTAGATACACAACTAATTGCATCTATATCTGTAATAGGTTGATTAATATAAAAATGAAAGCTATCAGATGGATTTTTAGAAATAAACTTTTTTGTGCAAGATATATTTTGCCATACAATCAATATATAGAATTCTATCACCTGTAATAATTTCATGATTCATTAACATATTATTAAAAAAAATTTTAAAAGCAATAAATAAAATATCAACTTATTATTATTATTATTTGGTAAAAGTGAATTTATCTGCTGAAACATGATTACTAATGAATTAAAGGTATGGTGCAAGTCACCTAGTCCCGCAACTTGCTGCGCCTCGTGGCCAATTTTGGGAAAAATATCAAAACTCAGAAAT